GGTTTTGGTTTTGGTTGCGTGGACTACGTGTGCTTTCTGTTAGCTATAGCTTACAATTGCTGTTACTGTTTGGAAATTCATTGATTTATATATATTTATACACAATTGCCGCCACTTCAGCGGCAACTCGGTTCATCTTATCAGTTGTGGACTGATAAGGCGAATGCCTATCTCAAAATGCGACATGCAATGTGTTTATTTTCGGTCTACAACGTTCTGGCTCGTACCATGGCCGAGGTGAGTAATACCCGTCGTTTGTTATGCTCTAATTGACGGGCCTGTCTGTCTGATGCCAACAGCCATTAGCCATCAATCGATCGGCAATCACCGAGAATCGACATCTATATTGTTCTCTTGTCAGCTGGTATCTTGTTTATCACATCTGAACAACATTTTCTTATTGTTTTTTTGTTTTCTTTTTTGCGATAACTTCGGGGAATCATTTGCCATAAATACATCGAATGGATGTGAGCAAAATATATGCGATGTCATCAGGGAGCGTTTGTTTACCAATTCCCCAACTTGGGAGTCTGTCTCATTTACGTAAACAAAACTCATTTTATTCGGAATAGATATAGTTACATATTTTCAGTGGAATATCAGAAATAAATTGTTTTAAAATACTTCCACTGAATTTGTTTGGAAAACTTTTAGTTAATAGGAAAATAAACATATACTCATTTAAAAAAAAAAAAAAAAAAAAAAAAACAGATATTATTGCATTCATAATAAGAAAAACATAGTTCAATTCCTTGACCCATAGAGGGAATCTCAAAGAATCGGATCTCTCGCATCAAAAGTCATTAAATGTAGCACAGTCCGTAAACATCAGGAGTTACTGCATGATGCGGAAATGTATTGGAATTTATTTCAGCGGCTTTGCCATTTAATTGCGGCTCAGCAGAGTCGACTTGTCAAGGTTACGCACAAGCCATGACCAATCGCCAATAAATCTTGAGGTTTTTTATTTGAACCCGTTTGACAGCACTCGCCTATACAATCGAGATCTAAACTCACATGGCGTGCTCAATTAAAATCTTTGCCTAGTTTTAGAGTTGTTTCTGAACAGATTACCTATAAAAATCTCTAAACAATCTATCAATAAATCTGCGACGTGCTTGAAATCCGAAGTGATCAAACAGTGAGCACGAAAGTATGCTTTAAAAAATTCTGCAGCTGTGAAGGATCAAATTTAATTTGCAATGTAGTCCTTAACAATCAATCAATTTGTTAAATTTTGGGGAGTTAAATATTGATAATCAAAGTAGTTTCCACAAGTTTCTTTAAAGTGTTTTAGTGATTTGGAGTTTTCAGATAGTTATAGATAGATATAATTATACTCATTCACGAAAGTGAATCAGTATATTGGTTTTGTGCAATGTCCGTCTTGCTGTCCGTCCGTCTGTCCGTCTGTCCGTCTGTCCGTCTGTCCGTCCGTCCGTCTGTCCGTCTGTCCGTATGAACGCAATCTATTTCGGCGCTATTGAAGCTAGAGACTTGAAATTTGGAACACATACTCGTGTATATCTCCGATTTATAAAGTGTTAAAATTTTCCCGATCCGCCCACTAGGGGCGTGGCAAATCGGAAAATGCATTTTCCGATATACCAGAAATCATGTTTGTTGAAGAGCTAGAAAGCTGAAA